GGGGAACCTGACACCTCCCCCCCCTCTGCCCCCCGCCCACCACCTTCTCACGCCCCCCATCCCTACATGGTCTTGCTGGCTACTCCTCCACTGCCACCCTCTCCAGAGACAAGACTGCTGCCTCTGCACATGAGCTGTGCATGAGCTGAGATGTGCAGAGAAAGCGGATCCAGCTCCCAGAACGGAAGCCAGGTCCCTGTCTCTGAAGATTGTGGTGGAGGAGGAGTTGGTGGAAGAGGCACCTACACAGGATACCTGCTCAAATCTTTGGATTTGCTATTAAACCTAGCCAAGCATGCAACATGTTCCTTTGTTAAGAAGATTACCTGTAACCAAGGTATAAAAACTCCTTCAAGAGGGGGGCACACCTTTTTCGTTTCTCCAGCGCCATCGTTCTTTCCTTCATCTGCCTCGGGTGAGGATGTGGTCATCAACAGATGTCTAAGGGGGGGAAATGGGCAGTTTTTAGGTCTCCAACAAAATTGTGCTAAAGAAAGAGATTAGCAGAGCAAGAAAAGTTGCTTCTTTTTTTAAAAAAAGTGTGTCTATTAACTGTACAGTTTTACAACTCCTCCCCCCCAATGATGGCTGGTTGCATTATTCATTGCTCTGCTTGTTACTTTTGCACTACTTTTGTTACCTTTGGGTGGGCAATTTTTAGAAAGAAAATGGGACAAACATTAAAAAATTTCTATCAAAACACCTCTAAGATGCTTTCAAAACATAATTCTAAAAAGCAACTCGCCAGGTTACAGCTTAACTTTCTTCCTGCTCATGTTAGTTTTGACTTTATCTGCTCGTACATTTGAAATGTCGTTCATTTTCCTTCTCAAAACATAACTTGTCATAGGTTAACTATCTTATTTGTAACTCATTACATCCAAACTCTGGACGTGAGTGAGAGCTCAGGAAGCATTTTCAGGTTACTTCCGGAGACACCTGATGGGGAAGCATAACCCTTTAAGCTAGTGGTCCCCAACCTTGGGCCTCCAGATGTTCTTGGACTTCAACTCCCAGAAATCCTGGGAGCAAATGTGGTGGTGAAGGCTTCTGGGAGTTGTAGTCCAAGAACATCTGGAGGCCCAAGGTTGGGGACCACTTAAGCGATGCATGAAAGAGAAGGAACCAGCAGAGTCTGGCTCCCTCTGGTGCACCCCTGTTGGGCCGACTCCAGGTTGATCTCCGTGCCTGAATGAGCAGGAAGGGCCGCAAGAAAAGTGCCCGGCTGGGCTGAAGAGTGCCTGGCTTCACTGCACAGCACAGGTGCAGATCTTTCCATCTCTGGGCTAGTAGGGGAATGAATGGAGCAACATCTCCCCCTACAGGCCCAAAGGGAAGCCAGCAGGCATCTTGGGCCACATTTCACACCCCAGAATGGTGGACCATCAAGGGAGCTGGAGTCTAACATATTGGGAGGGACTCCAGCTTTAGAGAAGCGCTTCTGCTGTGCAGTTAAGGAAGGTTTTGTGTCTCCAGCACCAGCCACAAAGGCTCTCTGAGTAGATGCTAAGCAGATCAACTACCTGGACCATAGACATTCTCTATACGGCTAGTTGAAGGAAGTGGCATTCCCTACAGTGCTCAGATGTTGCTTCCTTCCTTTGTCAGAGATTTTCCCATCAATTCCCCTTCTCATTGCATCAGTGTGGGTAGCCATTGCCAGCACCCCGTGACTTGTATTCTCTGGTTGAACGCTTGTTCCGCTGTGTGCCAGTCAGGATGGAACTTACACTGGGACAAACCTGATGAAGTGGTGCTTTAGTGTATGAAAGCTCATTTATTGTATGATGATTTTTAGTGGTCTATAAAGGTATCACCTATTTTTGCATTTGAAAACCTCACTGAGTTTACATGGCTGAGAGAGGATTCAAAGCCAGGCTTCCGAAGTCCTAGTTCATTACTCTGTCCACTCCACTCCACTGAGTATATTAGTTGGAGCACTGATGACGGTCAAATCACACTCGCTGTCAGACTCCAGTTCATTAATCTTCAGTTCATACATGTGGAATATTCTGCTTCCCGAATCCATGATTTAAAACAGCAGGAAATGCCCTGATATTGCTGCACAATATCATGCCTGGGTGGGTAGCAGGAAAAAGGATGCCAAGCTTTCCATGGCAAAGTGCAGCATGAATGTTGACAACACCAATGGCAGCAGTCAAGATGGTCTGCAGGATACCCTCTTGTGCTCACTACCATTCAGAACATGACACCGAGCAAGGGGAAATCCCAGAAGCTAAATCTTTTCTTTTAATCCACTTCTCACCCAAACATAAAGCAAACATTCAACACTTTTCACAAAGCAAACATTTGAAACAATTTTCACCCAAATACAATGCAATTGGGAAAGGTTGTAAAGACAAGAGATCATCTTGACTGCTGCTATTGATGTTATCAACATACATCTGACTTTTGCTATGTAAAGTTTAGCATTCTCCTTCCTGCTGGCAACATGGGAATGAAATCATGCATCAATATCAGGACAGTTCCTGGCATTCTAAATCATGGATACAGGAAGCACAATATCTCACATTCATAAGACAGAATGTATGAATGGTAACTCATCTCATCCCAAGAAGTGAGGATGGTGAGCAGCTACTTCCTCTTCTAACCAGAAAGGACAACAAAGAATTTTCCTCAATCCTGGTGAAAGTCTTCACATTGGCCCAGACTTTTCTGGCATGAAAAATGAAGGTGATATAGGAATGAATATTAATGCTGAATGTGCTTTCACTTTGGGAAGAGTGGGTGCTGGATCTTCTCAAGGAAAGAAGGACAGCAAGAGCATCCTCTTAATGGGAAATACAGTGGTGCCTCGCTTAGCGAGCGCACCGTTTAACGACAAATCCGCATAGCAATCTGTTTTTTCATATCGCTAATGCGATTGCATTGTGATGTTTTCAATGGTTTTTTAAAACAGCTGATCGCGGTTCCAAAATGGCCACCGGACGGCCAAAATGGCTGCTGCAACCATTTTTGCGCCCTGCCCTCGCTTACCGAGGGCATGAAAATGGTGGCACTATGGAGGAACTTCGCTGAATGGTGAGTTTGGGACCACATAGGAACGCATTAAACAAAGTTTAATGCGTTCCTATGGGTTTTTTTGATCCGTTTAGTGATGTTTTTGCATAGCGACGATTAATCCGGAACGGATTAACGTCACTATGTGGGGCACCACTGTACAAATGCAGAAGCAGGCAATACCTTTATTACAGTGGTCCCCAACTTTGGGCCTCCAGATGTTCTTAGACTTCAACTCCCAGAAATCCTGGCCAGCAGAGGTGATGGTGAAGGCTTTTGGGAGTTGTAGTCCAAGAACATCTGGAGGCCCAAGGTTGGGAACCACTGCTTTATTAGACCACTGGAAAATCAATTAGATTGCAAGCTTTTGATGGTTCCATATTATATCTTCCCCAAGCAGTTTCAAAAGTGTCTAGACACCATTGTTGCAATACAAGCAGTCTTAAGCAGCATGTAAACTGCTTATGGGGGTGGGGCGGTGGAAATCCCCCTCAAGTAGGATCGAATAGCATTTTAATATTACGGTTGATCTTAAATAATAAAAAGCAAGTAATGCACACACCCCCACCTGCCCCTAAAAAACAGGAAGGAGACTTGACTTTGATCTGGGAACTGACAAATATTTCAAAAAGAAGGCTTAGATTGAGTTTTAAGGGAGAGCTCCCTTATGTGCATGTTAGACATCTATGCATGACAGATTTGACAGTTTGAGGTCTCTATGTGATTAAGCAGGAAGGACCACAAAAGGATTCCCCAAAATCCTACTGGACCATCTCCTCCTTCACGTCATTCTGCAGGACCAAAGGTGAGGAGCAACGGTGACCTCTATGACAGAAGTACGTGAATGATGGCCCCACATATTGTGTTCAGGGGCAGAAAAGGGGCATTCTAGCAGTCTCCACAGCCAACACATTACAAATTAACATGGGGGGAATGGGATAGTGTGTTTGCATCAAACCAATGGCAAACATTAATAAGGGATGAAAGAACTATTCATAATGCTTGGTTTTTAAAAAAAATCTGCAAAAAGTACAGTGCGTTCATGTCAGCGCAGGAGAATGTCAGCAAACAACTTCTTGAATCATTCAAGCATAGCCCCCCCTTCACCTGTTATTTTTTTTCCAGTCACTTGTAGCTTGCCATTTGATGGTGTCTGTCATGACCCTCAATTTATTAGTAAATTTTGGAAAGAAAATAACCGCCATACATTTAAAAATGAAAATGGAGATGAAACCTGAAACTTATTCGTTCAATATGGTAAAGTTAAACTTGAGATGAGACAAAAAATTGGAACGTCAGGAAGAACTCAGAACACGGCCAAAGAACCCAAAAAAACCCCACAACAGCCATCAGATCCCGGCCGTGAAAGCCTTCGAGAATATATTGAGACAAAAATTTGTTTATACGTATTAGGTGCAGCCAAAATTCAAGTGGCAAAACAATGGAAAGACAAGGAGGAACCTTTGGTGGAGGATTGTTTAATAAAATTACAGGAACTAATATTAATGGACAAACTAACAGGCTCATTGAAAGGAAAGAGTAGAACGGAGCACGAATCTCAATAGGGAAAAGTAAAGAACTGTCTTAAAGAGAAATGGAAGAAAGATTCCAAACCGGTACTTGGGCTTAAATTAGAAGCAGAACTGCTCTCAACAGAAATAAAAACAAAGTAAAGCAGATTGTTCATATGGATATAAAATAAGAATTAAGATGTTTTTTGAGATTGCAAAGAAAATAAATGTCTGGTGGAAAATAAGGAAGTAAAAATGTTAAAGACTTACTGTTTGCAAAAGAGATTATAGAAAGTTATTTTGTTTATGCATTAATATTGTGATAATTGTTTACTTATTTTTATAATTGCTTTTTTAAACGCAATAAAGATTAAAAGTTTTTTAAAAAAACGATGAACCAACAAATATCAGTTTATAGTCCAATGGGAAAAAAGGAGTATTATGGGACAGGAGAGAGTGATGCTGTAGCATCTGTTGCAATTTTCTTTCTTTGCTCTGAAGGTTTCTGTCTTAGTTCCCCATCAGACTGCACCACCATGAAACACATCATCAGTTCCATACCAAGCAGCACAGTAATAATCTCCCTCGTCATCAGCCTGAATGTCAGTGATTGTTAAATAGCCAGTGTTCCCAGAGGTTGAACCAATGAATCGATCCGGGATCCCTTCTCCCCGGGTGCTGGAACCGTAGAGCACAAAGCGAGGGGCCTGTCCTGGTTTCTGTTGATACCAAGAGAAGCTGCCCCAACTCCCACCACTGCTACTGGTGCAGGAGAGTTTCACGGTTTGTCCCGGAGATGCGGAGGCAGAGGCAGGCTGGGTCACTGTTGGCTGTGAACGGGCACCTTGGGAAGATGGAAAAGGAAAAAGAGAAAGTCCAACACACTTGCTGGGCTCTGAAATACCACAAAAGTGCAGCTACTCTATGGTTCCACCACTCGGGGCATATGCATAAAGATATAGACCTGTGCAGCTATGAAGTGGGAAGCTCATTCTGCACAGACTTACCTGAGAAGTAGCTGAGAAGGCCAAGGAGGAGCAGGACCCAGGCCATGGTGAGCTCTCCATGGGTGTCTGGCTTTGCTTCTGGGAGTCAACCAGGCAGGGGCCTCACCTCCTTCCTTACATGCTCCAAGAACACAGAACAGCCCCTTCATGCAAATCTGTTCTCTGCTCACTAGCCCGGCAATAATTAAAATTATCTCACTAGCTTTGCTAGCACTTTGGCAATGAACATGGAGGACATTTCTCTTATGTCTTTCTGGGCATGTGCCTTGCTTTGGCCACGGTAGCAATCAAGAGACAAGGAAGACCAACCAAATGTGCTGGTGAAGAAGAGACATTAATGGCTATTAATGTTGGGTATATATTGCAACTTGCATAGGATGCCTTTAAGAAGTGTTGGGTGGGAGAAACCTTTCTGGATTGGGGTTGCTGTCCGTCATTTCAGGAGCTGATAATTGTTCCCTCTCTACCTTAGATTCTTTTGCGTCCTTTTCTTCCCCCAGTCAGAGTTCTATCAGTCAGAGTCAGTGCCAGCAATGGAGTCTGTCCAAAGTGGACAGTTTGAGTGAAGTGTTTTGTCAGTTAGTCAGGAATCAAGCTAATTGACCAGTTAAGCTCAGTGATGTAGCAAGTTAACATTTTTACACAATGTGATGTTAGTTTTTATATAAGAAGAACTGTAAGTAAATAGAAATATTTTCTTTTTCATTACTAGAGTCTCTGATCGAATTACTGAGACCATAAGTACCATTTAGGGTAAAATAACAAATAAGGGGTGGCCTACTAAGGGAGACAGTAGCTCCACCTGCTTTGTAGTTCCTATCTGAATCATTTTAATCTGCACAATTAGAAGTTTATTTTTAAATGTTGAAGTCACAACAATTTCCTCACAAAGTCTGTGCTCTCAACAATGAATACCAAAGGCATTTTCGACTGGAATATGTCAACAGTGAATGTTCTGAATAAAAGACAAGTAGAAAGAGGGAAAACTTTTAACTACTGAGATTAAAACAGTTTTTTTAAAAAAATAAAGAATTAAAAATAGAACTGTTTGGAATCAAACAGATCAGAAGTTTGACATACTTCATTCTTTCCCACTCAGATTTTAGGGTTCATAGATCATAAGTCAATCTGACAGGGTCGTATTTCTGTGCATGAATGAAAATGTGGAACATGGGAAGTTGGGAGTTTGATTCCGCCTGGTGCCTCCCTCACAGGAGCTGCACTTGAGGATCAATAAGGTCCCTTCTTGGAGTTCTACAACAATGGTTATGTTTTCCTTCTGCAGCACAGGCATTGGATGGCTAGCCAAGGACAACAGTTATACACAAGGTGGCACAAGGGTGAAGAGCCTGCAACCCTCAAGCCCTTTGGGGCTGATTGTCTCATTAGTCTTGCTCAAGCTTTGGGAAGGAGGAGCTTTCGAGGGGTGGGTGGGACTTGTAGGGGCTGTTTGCAAATCAGACACTTAAGAGCAAATGGGTTCCATGTCTCATGAAAGGAGAGAGTGTTTCACCCTCTTGCCCCCTCCTTTTTGTTGCAGTAGACCACACAACAAAATCACAGAAAATAAACTTTGATGGACTGGTTTTTATGAAATTCTTCAGGCAACTGATACGAACAATTTGTTTTCAAATTTCTTTTGGATCAGAATACAGTATGTTATAAGCAAGTATAATCTCCCAGTTCATAATCTGTAATTTGACTTTTTATGTCTGTAAATATATAGGCAATTCCTATAACATTAATCTTGTATTCTCTTTGAAAGATTTCCCACCCCATGGACAATGCATGTTTTGCATTATTCATTCTTTAAGTATTGATCATTGCTTGTAATTTTAAAAAGATTCTATTTATTAATTAAAAGAGGAGAAATAAATTACATTACGTTAGGTTAGGGTTAGGTTACTTTGTTATGTTAGATGTATGGAGGAATGGTTAGACAAGATTAAGAGAAAGCTACATCATGTACTGAACTATTTCCACCAACAATTGGCAGGTGTCAGTCCTTCAACCATCTCCAGGATCATTTGAGTTCTGTAAATTGTCTGAAATGTAGAACAACCGCTCCCCCTAAAGGCTGAGGGCAGAAGAACTGGGATGCACAAGGGGCAACAGACACAAGTAACTGACTGCTTGTCGCATTTTTTCAGGTGTGGATGAGGAAAGGCAAATGTTCTCTCCAGGCTGAGGGCAGAAGAACTGGGACATACAAGGGGCAACAAACACAAGTAACTGGCAGCTTGTTGCGTTTTTCTGGGTATGGATGAGGAAAGACAAATTTTCTCTCTTCCCTGGTGATGAGGACAGTGAAGAATTTTCCTCCATCCCTGTAAACATCTATACATCACCAAGGGTTTTACAAATATGCAAAATTAAGACGATGTATAAAAGTGTGTTAATGCCAAACATGCTTTCAGTTTGGAAACAGTCACTAGTCAATGTCTAAAATTATAGAAGAACAGCAAGAAATTAAAAAAACAACAACCATGGGCTACATCCTCACTAACACAGGTATGAGTTTAAACAACAACCAGATAACACACATTCCCTGTTAAAACCACTGTTTGCCAGGAAAGAAGACTCCACTTGTGCTTCTCCAGATCGAAGCAGCTCACAAGTATCTCCAAATCTTTTAAAAAAACAAAAGCACAAAAACAAGAATTAGAGGGAGTGCTCTCTTAGAGACACATTTATTGATGAAGTGGTTAAAATCTGCATGTGATTGACCAAGAAGGACCAGGAAAAAAACACCTTCCCGTGATTTTACTGAAGAATATTCCACTTCTCTTCATTCTGCACATAAAAGAGAGGAACAACTGTAGCCAACATTCCTTCTAAGCTCAGTGCCCACTTGCGCTTATGCTTGCCTAGAGCTCCGTTGGGGCTGTGCATGGGCAACCACCAGCCAGCTGGTTTCCTTCCTATTTTGAATGAAGCCCCAGCCATCCCCGTGGGTAGGGAGCAAGGCTCCCCTGCTGCAGGACGGAAATATAGAGGGAAGGTTACCTGTATGTGGGATGTGGTGGTGCTGTGGGCTAAACCGCAGAAGCCTGTGCTGCAGGGTCAGAAGACCAGCAGTCGTAAGAACGAATCCACGTGACGGAGTGAGCTCCCGTTGCTTGTCCCAGCTCCCGCCAACCTAGCAGTTTGAAAGCATGCAAATGCGAGTAGATAAATAAGGACCACCTCACTGGGAAGGTAACAGCGTTCCGTGTCTAAGTCGCACTGGCCATGTGACCACGGAAGATTGTCTTCTGACAAAATGCTGGCTCTATGGCTTAGAAACGGGATGAGCACCGCCCCCTAGAGTCGAACACGACTGGACAAAAATTGTCAAGGGGAACCTTTACCTTTACCTGCCTGTATGTAGCATTCGGGAGAGCTAGATTTTAACTATTTTAACTACCGCAGTCCAACATTTCACAGCTGCAAGGCACAAGAGTTGGCCTTACACAACCAATCATGGCCAATATTTTGAAACAAAAATATGAAAGAGAGAGAGAGATTATGGATAAAATCAGCAACCAGACAATGGCTAGGGATGAAAGAGACATTGATAACACTTTTGATGCAGATAATGTAGGCAAAAGTCTTTAAGGGGTATATTTCAAATCACATGAATGCATGAAATGATGCCCTGTTCCATTCCACCAAATGGACTCTCTCCCATTGCTTTTATGTTCATTGGTAGTTTGCCATGTGATGGGTTTCATCTATGACACCTGCTTGGCCTTTGATCTCTCATTATAAAAATTGTCACCCTAAAAATAGGGTAGTGAGGGTTCGAGTTATGAAGCCGACGTCAGAGGTCCTGGAGCATGTCTTGTGATTCTGTTTCTCTTCTTTAGAGAGAAGGCTTTTGTCTTACTTCTCCACTCAGTGTTGTAGTCTGGAATTCTGGCTGAATTTCTCTCTGCTCTGGTCGGGACAGTGAAGAATTTTTCTCAGTACTTATACAAATCCGCACAGTGGTGAAGGCTCTGCAGATATGCAAAAGGAAGATACGCAGAGATATACTAATGCCAAGCATGTCCCCAGCTGGTCAAGAGGTGTTGGGCACTATCCTAAAGAAAAGAGGGAGAGCATTTCAGTGGCAAGGCTCCTCTCTCAAGGGGCTACATCGTGACCAGTACTGAAACAATATTGGACAATAAAAATGAGTAAAGACACTTGTAAGTGCTTCTTGAGACTGGAGTGGGAGCTCTGTTAGGTTGACATTCATTGCTGAAGTGTTTGACATCTGGACAATGAAAGGGCAAGACGGGGCAGGCAAAAATTCACCATTAGTTCACCTGATGATATTCCACCTCCCAACACTCTGCAGGCAAGGAACACCAATGAGAACTATCAGAAATTAACTATCAGAAATGATGGGTATTGTAGCTTGACCAGCTCAAAGACAGAAGGACCACATCACACAAATTGTCTTAACTGTCACTTTAGAAATACACCAAAAAAGGGGTGGATGCAAGAGAAGCTGAGAGCTGCACATAAACATTTGAGTATAATTATTACAACCTATAATAACCTGAGGCTCCAATACTTTGGCCATCTCATGAGAAGAGAAGACTCCCTGGAAAAGACCCTGATGTTAGGAAAGTGTGAAGGCAAGAGGAGAAGGGGACGACAGAGGACGAGATGGCTGGACAGGGTCATCAAAACTATCAACGTGAATTTGACCAAACTCCGGGAGGCAGTGGAAGACAGGAGGGCTTGGCGTGCTCTTGTCCATGGGGTCATGAAGAGTCGGACATGACTAAATGACTAAACAACAACAAATAATAACCTGATGAAAAGCAGTAGGTAACTGAAGGAGAAAAGAAATAACATAATGAGGCAGAAATCAGAGGGGCAGCAAAGTCTGCTGGGATGGTGTTTCTTTACTCCAGGGAGACAGAGAGAAGGTTTTTGTCACAGTTCCCCATCAGAATAAATCACTGTGAAACGTACTGCTTGTATAGTCCCAGGCAGCACAGTAATAATTGGCCTCATCTTCAGCCTGGGAATCAGTGATGGTTAAAAAGCCTGTGTCCCCAGATTCAGAAGCTGTGAACCGATCAGGGGTCCCTTCTCCCCTGT